ACCTGTTACAATGGCTATTATAAAAAAGACAAGAAGTACCAAGTGTTGGCAAAGATGTGGAGAAAAGGAACCCTTGTGCATTTTTGGTGGGCATGCAAATGGTGTAGTCACCATAGAAAACAGTATGGAGATTCCTCAAAAAATTAAAAACAGAACTACCATATGATCCAGTAATCCCACTTATGGGTATTTATCCAAACAAAATGAAACAATGACTCAAAAAAGATATGTGCACCTTATGTTCATTGCAGCATTTAGAACAGCCAAGATATGGAAACAACCTAAATGTTCATCGGCGGATGAATGGATAAAGAATATGTGGTAAGTACACTCACACACCTGGAATATTGTTCAGTCATAAAAAAAGAATAAAATCTTGCCATTTGCAACAACATGGATGGACCTCAGGGCACTATGCTAAGTGAAATAAATCAGACAGAGAAAGACAAATACCATATGACCTCACATAGATATGGAATCTTTAGGAAAAAACACCACCCAAAACTAACTCATAAATACAGAGAACAGATTGGTGGTTGTCAAAGGTGTGGGGTGGAGGATGGGCAAAATGTGTGAAGAAGTCAAAAGGTACACACTTCGTTATAAAGTAGGTCAGTCACAGATATATAATGTACAGCATGATGATTATAGTTAATAATACTGTATTGCATAGTTGAAGGCTGCTAAGAGAGTAGAATTTTAAAAAGTTCTTATAATGGAAAAAATATGTAATTATTTTTGATGACAGATATTAACTAGACTTATTGTGGTGATCATATTATAGTATATCCAAATATAAAAAGCACTGTTGTATACCTGGAACTAATGTCATATTGTATGTCAATTACACCTTAATAAAATAAAAATACCTCTTGGGAGTAATATCCATGGCCATTCTTCTAAAGGCACTGTTGAAATGGTCAACCTTTACTACTATTCCTGTGAAGATTAGTGGTGGCATCCACTCTCTTTTGATTGGCTTTTGAGTCTGTTCACAGCTGATACTCCACATTAGGCCGTGACACTCATATCACTCCATTACCTGATATGGATGAGCTTCACAGTGAATTAAAGAAACGACACAAAAGTTTTGCTAAAGGTGTCCTATATACATATATATATATATATTTTATTTTAAAATGTCATTGAGCATATACATTTCTTTAGCTTTTTCCAGGGAACATTTCACCTAAGTTTCAAAACACACAAAATAGATCCCCATTACTAAACAGTTTTCACTTTTGGGTTACAAAAGTCAAGGTTTCACAATCACAAAGCATAAAGGTACATGGTTCTGAAACCATTTTCAGGCAGATTCCTCTCATTCACTGCACAAAGTGTATTTTTGAAAACCCAGACTTGATGATCCATTTCTTACAAATGATCTCCAATGTGGGCCTCCCTGGGTCTCCAAAAGAAACAAAGAAAATGGAGGCAAAACAGGGGTGAACGAATAACCTCAGGACTCCCCAAACAAATACAAAATACCATGGAGGATTGGAATAGTGGAGGACACGAGGTTCTCCTTCAAGTTCATCACAGTAGAAAACAACCGCACATATACAGCCTCACTTGGTCATTGTCTACCTGGTCTCTGTATGAACAAAACTTTATCTAAGACGCAAAGGAAACATTAAAGCTATTTACAGATAACGTCGTGGATCAGAAAGTGCAGTACTCCCCAGCTCAGCACTCAGATCTGACAAAGAGCTGCCACAGTGCTCGCACAGGCGGCAAAGCGGACTGCTCGTGTAGTGTCTTTAGAAAAATCCCAGTGCACGCACGCCACCCACACAGAACCAGTTTGCTCAGCACGGCGGGCTATGGTGTGCAGGCTGCAAAACTTCTCTGCAATTGCAAATCCTCAAAAATCCCAAGTTTCTGTTGTATGCTTTTTACTTTTTTCTTAAATCTGGTAACTTTTTGGGTCAGCCTGGTTGTTCTTTGCATAGACAATGACTCTCACTGCTTTCTTCAAGTGTCCCAGAAGCACTAACTTACTGAAAATAGAAACTCATAAAAGCTTAACAGATTCACTCTGAAAAGAGTGGAGCTGCTGGGTCATTTAAGGAAAGGTTAGAGCCTCAAACTGTGGTGGAAAGAAAACCACTGACCTCTCGTGGCCTTGTAAATAAAGTTGATTGGCAGATGAGAAAGGAGGTGAGATCAAGAGAACCAGAATTTTAAAAACTTGGGAGATTTTTTTCTAACGTTTCTATGCTAGTCCTCTTGGTGAACCAGAAAACTCTACCTGAATGGCTACACTCTGAGGCCAAATCTGGGTACTGGGAAGCTCATCCCTGCTCACCAATATCTATCTACAGCTGTAGGTCTCCCAAAAAGTAAATGGACACTTAGAAGAGTAAGAAGAGAGTGGGCACAGCTCCATGGAAGTACGTTGCTAAGGATTAAAAAAAATTGAACACCCTAAATTTCCCAAAGCTGAATACTGTGGAAAAGAACAGAAATTCCCACTTTTTTTTTTCACTTTGTCCTATTAGGACAGCTCAGTCCTGAGCCTCGCCAGGTTTTCAGCTCGCTCTTCCCGCCCCAAGAACAGCAGTTATGTAAGCACAACCACTGCAGAACATCCCTCTTCCTCCCTGACTGCTGGCGCTGCTCTGATCTCAGGTGTCCCGACAGCAAAGATGTGGTTGTTGCCTGGGAAAATGCTGCAGGGTGGATGGGGTGGGAGTTTGCCGGGCCTAAACATTCTGGAGAGCAGGGGCCAGCCCCGCAAGGAGATTTAGAACTGAAAGAGCCTTTCAGTAAAGGAAGTGGCTACACACACCCCAAGACAACCATAAAGACTTGACTAGGAAATCGAAAGCTTTTTATTAAACAAGACTTCCTCTGAGGCTATGAGAACACACAGATTTGGCCATAACCCAGATACACAAGATTTCAGAACCACGTATAAGTACGTTCTGCAGAATTTTGTGTGTTGCTTTTTGACCTTTCCAGGAATGCTCCAGGGGCCTACCTGTTATATAGACATGGTTGGGATGGGATGCTCTGGGGTAGGATGACGTGGGGCCTGGGTAAAAAATAAAGCCAAAACCAAGTAAGCTCAATGCACAGAGCAATATCAGTGCCGGGTAGGTTTGCTATGACCATTAACAAATCATTTTTCCACATCTGCTTTTCTCACCTCATTTGTAGTTTTCCTCCCATCCTCCAAACAGAATCATGGCTTCAGCTTGCTACTGAGATCTTTCCACCAAAGGGGGCTTATGAAAAGAATTCCTAGGTGCCTAACTAGAACCAGGACTAAATGCTCAAGACTTCAGGATACAGTGAATGAGTTTTTCCTGAGGCATGCTTTGGTAGTAAATGAGTTGATGAACTGAGTAGAAGGTTGTCATGACATCTACATGTCTACACCCAAACTCTGACTCTCATGGCTCAATTAAAACTGGAGAAGCTCAGAATGGGGCCTACATAGAAGTCCAGAGAAGGAGAAGAAATGAAAGGCAATGGAAGCATGGGAAAGAGGTGACTGTTTCCTAAAGCTGGTGGCTCAGAGTATTCCAAAGGAAACTAAAGTTTCCAATTTGTATGTGGCTGGGGAAGTCAAGGCAGGAACAGAAAATGGACCACACCACTGTAGGATGCCTGCATGTTTTTCCATAGCATAACATTCTGCCAGAGAAGCAAACTGTCTACCACAAACTTCTTTTCACAGAGCGCTAAGCGTAGCTAAGATGTACCAGAGGAAAAGGGAAGCTATCAGATGAAGAGGACTCCTGACAAGGTTGTGGTCCAGTTCTTCCCAGGCAACATTTTGGCAACCACCTGGTGGGTGAATTCCCACAGTTCTTCACCTGCCCGACTGGGCACTGTTTCCACACTGTGGGATGAACACAGAATAGGAAGTCCCCAGGCCATTCCTAAGAAAATCTGTAACTCCAGGTGGTATATAAACCATCCCAGAGAAAAGGTTCCCGTCCTCTCCTGTGGGGAAGGGATTCAAACAAAAGCGAGAACTGGAATGGGCTCTGGCATTTGGGGGAATCACACCAATGACTTTACTGAATGTTTTAATTCCAAGAAGTCGTCCAGATGGTGATGATGCCACAGGAGCTCCCCAGGAAGAAGACGTTGCCCTCCAGGCCCCCCATGCAGAGAAGAGTCTATGAGATAGCAGTGGTTTCTAAGCATCTATTTTGCAGTTCCTCCTGGCAGGGAGCAGCGGTGGATCTGATTTGCCCCTGCTTCTGCTGGTGCTCTGTGAGGAGCACTCAGAGGGGGAGCAACAGTGGGAATGGTGGGGTGGTTGGGACATGATTCCATGGAGAAGGAGCAGGTGCACAGCACAAGAGGGACCAGTCAACCCCACTCAAATTCCGTTTTACCAAAGTCAGCCTGAGCCCTGCCCAAAGACAACAGGGAGAGCAGGCGTGCTGTTCCTTACACACTGTTGGGAGTGGGCCTGGGGTCGGCCGCAGCCTGGATCCAAAGCAGAGGAATGGTTCCGAAATGAGGTATGGTGCACGACTGACACAAGGGCCTCCCCACGCGGCTCTATTAAACAAACACTGCTTTACACATGTCCTTCTGCACAGTGGGGGTGGGCTGGGCTTCAGAAGCAATCATTCCAGAAATGAAAACCCAGATTCAGAAACAAACAGAAACCTCAAGCCACACGAGGGGGACCATTGAAGACAATAGAGGAACTGTTGGCCCAAAGAAATACTCCAAATTTCATGAAAACACTGATTTAGTGAGAAAATTCAACTCAAAAACAAGTTATTACACAACAAAGACAGCACTCTGTTAGCCAGGGCACTGCTCCAGATGGCTGCCGTGGTGATGCGGGCTACAGGATACAGCGAGAGCCTGGGCTGGACTTTGACACACAAATTCCTCAGCAAGGACTTGGAAAGTCCCAGGCCTGTTCTATGGAAACAATTAAGATTCAAGAAATTTAAAAAAATAAAAATCCCTGCCTCACCCCATCATCACCATGAAAGAATACACACACACACACACACACACACACACACACACACAGCATTCCCTGAAATATATCTCAGCCTTACTAGAAGGTGGGCACCCACACTATCTGAGACATGATCCCCAATGCAGCACTTTTAACCTGTAGAGAGATCGACAGCTTGACAGGCCAAAGAGAGTCTTCTGCCAGTTACACCTGAACATGGCTGCCCTAGCACTCCAGATAAAATAAATATGATGTGTGTGCCCAAAATAGGCAATGGCCACCTAGGAGGTCTATCAAAGGAACCAGAAGAAACAACACTTAGCAGCCTTTGTGTTTTGCTTTTGTTGAGGATCCAGACCTGCTACTAACGAGGAAACCGGAACCTAACGACCCTCTGGAAGTACACCTGGAGGCTTCGGCAGCAAGTTCCCCATCTGGTCTGAGAAGAGGTGGCATCACCTGGAACTCTGCCGGGGCACTTCCCAGCCCACCCAGCCAAGAGGCATCCCAGCTTGCTTTCTTCCGATTTTCCAGTCCCCTGAGTCGTCTTCATGATAGTTTGTTTCCATGTATTAACGGAATGACATATACAGAAATGTCGTCTCCTGAGCCCAGTCGGTCATTAGATATCCGCCATCCTCTGTCCTTCAGGACACCACGGGCACGCATCACCAGGTCCTGAGCTGCCAGTGTATACCTGTGCAGGGAGAAGCAGGAATGAGACCATCAGTGCAGCACCAGGCAAAATCTGGGTTCAAGCAAGGCTAGAAAGGAGGCATCACTACAGCTAAGTAAGCAATTTTCAGATACCCTTAAAGTCTCAAAAAGCCTAGGTTATCTTTTCACCACGTGTGGGATGCCTGATGTGAATTATTTTTTAGATGGTAGATGGACAGGACACAAAGTACATTAAATAACCTCCTAAATTATTCCGTTGCTCAGCCCCCTTCTGAGGTTTGTGATGATGTTGAGGACACAGTCTCAGTTTGGCCCTAGTGTACGTAACATGGACCTGCTCAGTCTCAGGGTCTTCCGTGGCAAACAGCGTCTAGCTAAAAAAGTACGTGGGAAAAATAAGAGCTTTTATTTTCAGTATGCTTATTTTTAGGACCACATTTTTTTAGGACAAAGGATAGTCATTTTCCATTTATGGCAAGGGTACATCTCTTTTAAAATAAATGTTTTTTAAAAGTAAGTTGATTTAAAGACAAACATTAATGATATACATGTAGCATAGAAATATAGTTAAAATGTGAAGGTTTTATTGGTAAATGACTGATAAACCCTAGTGTGGGTAAGCTGTTCCCCCCACACTTATCTATGCTACACTGTCTTCTGGACCAATGTAAGTTCAAAGAGGGATGCCCCAGAAGTTTGAAAACAAGATTGTTCACTGAGATTTAAACTGTGAACTTGCACTGGCTGATCTGGCTCAGTGGTTAGAGCATCAGCCCATGGACTGGAGAGTCGTGATTTCGATTCCTGGTCAAGGGTACGTACCTGGGTTTCAGGTTCCATCCCTGGTCAGGGTCGTTTGGGTGGCTACCAATTGATATTTATCTATCTATCCATCCATTTCTCTCTCTCTCTCTCCCTCCCTCTCTTCTTTCACTCTCTAAAAATCAATGGAAAAATATCCTTGGGTGAGGAGTAACAAAAAAACAAACTGTAAACTTAAGAAAAAAGAATTGCTGATACAAGCTGATGGAAAGTATTAACATGTAGAGGAAGAAAAATGTGGGAGGTGATTTGGATGGGTGTGGACATAGGTTAGCCTTGAGGCATAAAAAAATGAGACAGAACATTGGCAGGCGTCTATTGAAATACTGAGCAGGGCAGAAAGAGTCCTAGCTGGTAGACTTCAAAGAAATCTAGTTTCACTGGTAGGACCATATTTACTGTGGATGGATTACTCTTAGCCTATGCCATGAAACATGATTCACCTTTATTCTGTTTCATGAAGGTTACCCAATAGCCTGTTTATAATCTGCCTCCCTGTGCAGGCCTTTCTACAGGGAAAAATGAGCTAATCACATACTTTAAGAATATCAGTCAGTTATATCTTTTTTCCATATAAATGTCAACTGGCATTTTGGTTTGCAGATCAATCTTGTAAGTTTGGTCAAGGTGAGCCCAGCTCTGATAATGAATCTGTTCTTTTTATGTTGACTAAACTAGTTTCCAAACCTGAAAAGCAAAAAGCCAGACCCTGGTAAATCACCCAGATAATAAATATCATCCTATAATGAAGGGCTCTTGGAAGCCAGCCTCTGGACCTTTAATGAGAGACCATGCTGATATTACTAGTGACCTTTCTCTTCTTGGAATGTCTTTACCTTGCTTTCAGAATTGTGAGTTATAAAATTCAGAAAACCAGAAACTTTCCACTTCTGTTAAAAACCTTTATGAATTTACCAATTCTCATGTTAAAAGAGACCTGCATCTAGCCCCATTGTTGTATTAAGACCAAGGATGTAGTGAATGATCTCAGGATTGTTACCATTCCAGGTTGTAAAGTCTATGAAATGCAAGTCCATTGCGCAGCCCAGGTAGCAGACAGAAGGTGGCAAAGCACAGGCTATTTTAGTTAATGCACAACAAATGCTTTTTCTTCTGGAGGATGGGTATTAGGTGGGAAGCAGAGACACCCCTTCCACCGGTATTGAGAGAATTGTCAGCTTAGAGGCAGAAATCTGTTACACCCAAGGGAAGATACAGCTAACTAGTCCTCTTTGAGGGTTCTTCTGTTGAGATCATGAAGTAAACAGAAAGGCCTCCAAAGGTCTTTGGCTAAAGAGACAAATGTCCCTAAATTTACATATTGCAGCTCATATACTGTATTAGAAAGTTTCTCAGATGCTAACCTCAGGTTGCTCTTGGTTTTATATTAAATTGTATATCTGAGATGTAACCACATAGGGAAAGGCTACCACAAATATCAGGGTGATGTTTATTGTCCTGATGATTGGCCAGGGTCTGGACCTTTGCCTTTCAAGTTCAGAAATTTGGCTGAGTCAATATACCGAATAGATTCATCTGTTGGGCTGAACACCCCTTAATCCAGTTTATGAGTAGACTAGACATAGAAAATTATGGCAAATTATGGGGAAAAGATCACTGATAGTAAAAGAAAGATATTCAAAGATGTATATTGAAAGATATATATATATATATATATATATACACACAACACAAAAGAATGCAAGCTAGCTCCTGTAGGTAGTACAGAGGCAAATAGTCCTATAGACCTGAAGAGGTACTGCAGCCAAGGGGCAATTTCTGAGAGGTCAAGGTTAAACAATGTCTAACTAGTTTTAAGTTATGAAAGAGTATCATTCATAGTTAAAGCAAGACCCTGATATTGCTATTGCTGGTGACTTTGGGTGTTGTAAAAATGGTCAAAATTAGCTTTGGTATTTTAAAAGGCAGCATTAGGTCACCTAGAATAGCTGGTTACCCAGGAAATTAATTTCCCTGAGGGCTCTAGATAATTAAGGTTTTATTCTTAAAAATGGTTGCCTATTCCAAGATAACTTCCCTTGAGCCTGCATTTTTCTTCACCATCCCTTCTGTCTTCCCTTCAGTGTTGAACTTCTTGAGAGAGCGATAAATCCATGTTTATTTCCTTGATTTCTTACTTCCCATTTTTCCCTCAATCTCTTACCAGTAGACCCAACACTCAGTCTGTTCTCTTAAAGCTTGATCTAAAGGCTTCCTCTCAATCATTCTGCTCACCCTTTCTCCAGAACACATATCGGCTGACCATCTTCTTTATCCTTGAAGTCTCCTCTCTTTTCTTCTTGAATTCTCCTTCTCTTTGGAGCTACCATGCCACCACATACTTCAAGTTCTCTTCCTGTGTCTGGGCTTCCATGACACATGGCGCAAGTTCTCTCTCTCCAAGGCCTCTTCCTAAATTCCTTTGTAGACCCCAATTAAGACTTAGGAAGAAGTCAATAAATGTTAACTTATTTTCACTTCCAAGGTGGGTCTTCCCCATCTATCATCCTTAGTAAATGGTATCCCCAGTTTCTTAGGCAAGAAACCGTAGTCATTTTCAATGCTACTTTTCACTCTGATATTTTTCAGTGATAAAATCCACAAGGCAGAGTAGGACTTCTAAACTTTTTATTATTTTAAGTGTATTTCATTAGTATTACACGCTTGATTAAAATAAAGATAATCGTATAGTGATTAAGATGTAAGTTAAATCTGTTTTGCCATCATTCATATAGATAGGTCAATAGAGACACATTTATTTTATACTTTCTATTTCTCTTTTTATGTTTTTTATTTTTTTAGAGAGAGAGGAAGGGAGAGAGAGATAGAAACATCAGTGTGAGAGAGAAACATTGATCAGCTGCCTCCTGCACACCCCCTACTGGGGATAGAGCCCACAGCCCAGGCATGTGCCCTGACCGGGAATCAAACTGGGACCTCTTAGTCCATGGGACACTCAATCCACTGAGCCACACTGGCCAGTCTGTACTTTCTATTTCTTATGTTTTATTTTCCTTCATTCTTGTTTTCTATCAGGTTGATATCTGTCTTTAATTCTTTTTTTCTTGACTCTACTGGTTTAGAAGTGTCAGTTTGCTATTTCTATTCTTTTAGCAGTTATGTTTAAATTGTTAATAAAAGAGTTAGTCAATATTTATGTCCTCCTCCTGAAAATAAAAGGATCTTCCATGTTACTACCTATTTTAATTTCACCTTGTTTTTTAAGATTGCTAGCCATTATCATAATTTATAACTTATATAAAGAAATCAACATATTAACTTCTTTGCTTTTTGAAGTTCATTCCTTCCTTCTGGATTTGATTTTCTTTTGCTGAAGTACATTTTTTAAACTATGTTTTTAAATAGATTTTTAGAGAGAGAGGAAAAGAGAAGGAGAGAGAGACAGAAACATCAATGAGAAAGAAACATCAACATTGATTGTCTGCCTTGCACACCTCGTGCTGGGGATCGAGTCTAAAACCCAGGTGTGTACCCTGCCTGGAATTGATTTAGCAACCTCTTGGTGCATGGGTCAATGCTCAACCAGTGAGCTAAACCAGCTGGGCTGAAGTACATTTTTCTTTTAACAAGGACCTGTGAGGGATAAACTCATTCAGTCTTTGGAACACAAAAATTCTTTATTTTTGCTTTTAATCTTGGATGATAGCATTATTGGGTATAAAACATTAGATTGACCATTATTTTCTGTCAGCAGTTTAGAGACAATATTCTGTTTACTTCTGGTTGAGGAGAAGTCTGTCTTGTATAATTTCCTTATAAGTAAATGTATTTTCTCACTGATAGCTTTTAAATTGTTGTCTTTGTTTTGTTGATGGTATGACATTCTAATAAGACATAACAATGAGGATTCCTTTTTCTTTGTCATAGTTGGAAATTAGTTTTTCTTCAAACTGAGAAGATAGTTGATACCAGAAAATTCTCAGCTGTGAATTTTTGGAATATTTCTTCCCTTTTTTAATATTTTTTTCATAAACTTCTATTAGATCTCTTTTTACCTTCTAGATTTCAGTTTCTTTTCTATTTTCTTTTTTATCTGTCTGTGATATCTTTCAATTCATCTATTCCTACTTTAGCAGTTTACTATTCAATCCAGTCAGTAAGTTACTTTATAATGACATATTTTTTCATCATTGTGAGTTTCTATTTTGTTGTTTTCCAGAGCCACCTCTTCTTACC